AACACATCACAGAAATCCCACCTGGATGGATTCAAGAGACACAAAACCTCCTGAAGGATGCTGTACCGTGCACCCCATAACACTCAGCGTTGCCTGTCCTCAGGCCATCCAGACCTGACCAGTAAGTAGGGACCAGACTTTGTCCTCCTCATCACCAGTGAGCAGTGGGACCAGACAGGCTGGCAGCACCACCTGGGAACCTCAGTCTCCTGGGAATGGCTGTAATTTCAGGAATGTTAACAATTATCCTCATGTTGACACAGGTCACAAGCAAAGTCTCCCCATACACCTCCACAGACATTTTCATCAGAACCCCCTTCCTGCAGTGTGTTTTATGCTGCACATGCGGTGCAACCCAAAACAGAAACAGAGCTTGCATCTAAGTAGGGAAAAAAAAAAAAAAAAAAAAAAGATGGCATTCACCACAGCTTTCTGCCCCATGACATCCTTGATTTCAAGGCGCTCCACCCTGTGTTTCAGGGACAAGCAGGAACATTACTCACGAATTTTTTCCAGAGCGTGGATCTGCTACAGACACATGAGCACAGGACACATCAACTTAAATACTCTTCAACAGAACTCTTAAACCCAGAACGGATCCAGCAAATAGATGAAAACCCCCAGCAAAACTCACCGAAGCAGTGCTTGAATCTGGACCCATGCATTAAGACTCAGGCTCTTGCCCTTATCTCATTTAAGAGGGTTACAGTGTCTGCTGAATACCTACCAGCACCTTGTTCAAAGGTGGCATGCCTCAAAGCGGGAGCAACGCTGCTGAAGAGGGAACCTGCCCCTAAGGGCCCCTCTCCCCTGCCCAGCAAACAAGTGAAGCTCCCACTGCCTTCAGGGAGGAGAGAAACATCAATTTCATACTCCCAGCATGGAAACACCGACCTTAATCTATGAGCAAAGTGGCACGCCATTGACAGTCATTCCCACTGGCAAACTGAACAACTCCCTCTGCTTCTAGGAGCTGATCCATCTGATACGGCTTTTCAAGAAACTGTGCTAAACCCTACTGTCAAAACTCCCCTGGGACAGGTTCTAAACCAAACTAGGGAGCACTTTGGCTCTTAATTTCTTACCGATGTGAAGAAGTTAAGAGGCCAAAATCCTTGCTGGATTCGGAACTGAGAGTTTAAACAGATTTCAGTTTTGCTAGTTTCCAGGATGCCTCAGGAACTGACCTGACACGCCACCTCACTGAAACCCATACTCATGGGTTTTATTGTAATTACAAGTCCCTTTTGTCCTTCACAAAATGTAAATCCTCAAGCTATGGCTTCTACCTTTAAAACAGAAGCAATAAATCCCAAGTTGGCACACCAAAACATCTTCCTCTCAGATACTCGACCGTGTAAACACAGTGAATATTCTCACTCTGTGACCCATTTTTGCTGTTTACTTTTTGGAATGCAGAGACACTCATATTACTCAATCGTGCTGCCACTGCAATACATACCAGAGCTTACACATTGTGCTGTTGGTAGTATCTGTGCTTCAGCCAAAATAAGGAGAGCCAGCAGGGTCTCTGAAGGCTCAGACACAGCCAAGCCCAAGTCCTAAACACTTCATCTGTGTTTTTGCACAATATCGGCAGTGCTGCGCTTCCACGAGAGAGCACACACGTAGTTATACCACAGCAAAGCGTTTAACACCAATGGTTACTTTTCCCTCCACAGAAATAACTACATGGGTGTAAAGCACCTTTTTACTGCTACAGCTGCACCTCAGCCAGGGTGTGAGCTAGCGCAACTATGTCAGTTTTTAGAAGTCACAGGCCTAAAGAAACAGACCTAGAAGAAATAATTACAGGATGTAAGAACCCCAGGCCTTAAATCAAAACACGTTTGTTAGTTCAAGATAAAACTCACAACTGAAGTTTCACAGAACTTGTGGCCGAAGAGTCCTACTAAAGCCTGAAAAGATTAAACCGGAGCCTACCTCTCCCCCCAATTTCCCTAAAAGCTATGTCAGTTCCAGCACAAAGGTACGTTCCAGAAGGTCAGGAGCCAATTACCGACCCTTCTGACACCGCTCTCCTTCCCCCTTCCAGCCAGGATGCAGCGAAGGCAGCACGGGAACACCCAACCGCAGCCTGCGGACAGCGGGCCGGCGGGTTTTTGGCAAGGGGGAGGGCAGGCTGGAGGGGAACCCCACCGCGGCTCCCCCCAACCCCCCTCCCCCGCCACCCAGCAAACCTGCCCGCTCCCCGCACGGTGGGGAGCGCTTCGGGGGGGGGGGGGGGGGGGGCCAGGCGGCGGGTGCCCGCCCCACAGCGCTCTGGGCCCACGGCCGGCTCGCAGCCCACGCGTGGAGCTTCCCCGCGGGGTCGGCCGCTGCCCCCCGGCGGGGCGGGCGGCCCGGGCCCATGGCGGCGGGGCGGAGCCCGGCCCCCACGGCGCGGCGGGAGCCGTCGGGGCGCGCCGCCGCCCGCTCAAAGCAGCCGCGGGGGGGGGGGGGGGGGGGGGGGGCCTCGGCCCGCCGGGACGCAAAGTTGCCGCGGTCGGGCTCGGCTCGGTTCCGGACAGCGGGGCCGGGCCCCGGGAGCTCCCCGGCGCGCCCCTTACCTGCGCCCAAACCCCGGCGGGCCCTCCCGCAGGCGGCCGCCCCTCCACCTCCGCCGGCTCCGGACAGCCCCCGCCGCCGTCCGGTCCGCGCCGCTCCGCCGCCCGCCCCGTCCCGGCCGGCCCCGCCCGCGCCCCGCCCGTCCCCCCGCCCCGCACACGGCGGCCGGGACCCAGCGGGGCGGCGCGCCGGGCCGGGCCGGGCCGCGCCGGGCTCTCGCCTCGCTCCCCGCCCCGGGGCCGGGCCTCCCCGACGGGGCGGGCGGGCGGCGCCGGGCCGGGCCGCCGCCCTGATTGGGCCCGACGGCAGTCACTCGGCGGGCGGGGGGGCGGAGCGGGCCCGGCCCCCGCTCCCCGAGTTCCGCGGGCCCCTTACCGGGGAGCGGCCCGGGGTGCCCCGGCGGGCTTCCCGCCCCGCTTCGCGCCTCAGGATCCGGCCCCTCGGCCGACAGTCGCGCCCGCTGGCGCCGGGCCGAAGCGGGCGGTGTAACCCCCCCGGTCCCGGGGAGCGGAAGGGGTGGGGGGCGGGCCGCCGCCCCCCGAGAAGCGTCCCACCGGCCGCCCAGCACAGCAGCAGCGGCCCCGGTGGGGACGGGCGCGCTCCGTCGGCTGCCCCGTGTCCCAGCCCGAAACCTTCGCCTCCTGCGTGGCAAGATGGGCGGCAGAGGCCTGAGGCTCCCTCAGGAGCGGAGCTGCGCGACTGGCCGGCCGGGGGGCTCGGCTTGGCAGCCCCGTCCAGCCAACTAACTCTCAATTTTGTTCTGAGTAGACCCAAAACTTTTTTTCATTTAATTTCAGAGCTCTTCCTCCCGTCCCTTCTCCAAAGGCTGGGTTAGACAAAACTGAATAAAGCTTATGCGGAAAAAATGATTTGGTCGTACTTAATTTCTGACCGAACTTCTAAAAAAGTGGAAGTTTCCGTTCAAAAACATGTTGAAAGTAAACACTTTGAATTCTCAACTAAAATGAGAAGGTCCCATTTGCTGTTTAAGCACAGTTAGGAAAGAGGGCGAGTTGATTCAGAACACTTTTTTTTCTGGCAAGTTACCAGCCTGTCACGTCGGCCACGCGGCTGTAGTGTGTCTCAGGTTAAACAGGAGGACTGAGTCGTAAGACTACAAGAAAAGAAACGCATGTGTCTACGCAGTTAAACGTACCTCGTTTTCTTTGTTATCTTCTATTTCTAGTACTTCTGTTTCAAAACTTCTGTGGCTAACTATGGTTTTTGACGTTGTAGCATCAGTTTCTACCATTGACATTTTTTGCCCATTTTCCTCAGTTCTTCGTCAATTCTCCAGCAAATGTTACCAGTTTGCTGCCAGCCAATGGGTAAGTGCTGGTGCCAGGCCGAATCACAGGGCTCCCGCATCCAGCGCTCCCTCCCTCCTGGAATGGCTGGAATTGGACTTGAGCAGTTACGAGCACTTGGAACAAATATTGATCCCTGCTGAAGTCTGATATTCACCAGCCTTTGTTTTCTGAATTGACTGTTCTGTTGATTCCCTCTTTTTAAGGTTTAAATAATTTTTAATTCAGAAAGATTCTTATTAAAGAACCTAATGCAGGAGGGCTTTGTTGGTCAGGATGCAATATGAGTGAGATCTCTGAAAACAAATCTGAGCTGAAAAAAACATTTCAAACAATTGTTTGAATTCTTTCATCAAAGAAAATATCTTTGCAAGTTAAGACAAATCGCCGATAAGGCTTTCTGGCTTGCTTATCTCTCATCTCCCAAAATAGCTTAGCCCTTTTTGCTCCAGGCTGGTTTGCAAAGAAAGGTTGATTTTCTCCACCTTTGTGAAAACATGTCAGCCTCAGAGAAGGCAAATATCTCCATCATCCCTTCCATGAAGGCTGCAGGAGGTTACGAGGAGTAAGATTATTTTCCAACATTCTTCACTGATGGAGGAGGTGAAGGGAAATAGCTTTTCCCTCACTTTGCAATGGGAACACGTACTGTCTCCGTGGTTACAAATCAATAAATGGCATTAAGCCTAGTATTCCAAGAGCTGTCAGAGGCATTTTGAAGGCACAGCATACACTCTCTTACATGATCTTCTTCGGGTGGTACTTCGAGTCTTCTGCGCGTTCACGGCGTGGTACAACCAGGGGTACGGTGTGGCAGAACAGTTATTTGTCAGCGGGGTCGGTGGGGTGAGCAGACGCCCTGCACGCCTCCGAGATCACCGGCACAAAGCGGGTGTCTGGGTGTCAGGGGTGGAGGCACGAGTGGGACCGTGCCTCCCACTGGCAGCCACTCTGGGACAAAGCCCCCTGCAGAACAGCAATGACTAAATCTGCAGTGCACCTATTCCGTGGTTTTGCCTGCTCCTCATTGCTGAGTGATAAACATAGTGCAGTTTTTAGTGCAGTTACCCTTACTACATTCTCACAAACATTACTATCTCATTTTATGCAGTTGAAGTGACTCACCTTTGTTAATTGGGAGTGTTAATGTCTTGTAGTGATCCAAATTTCAACTTGCTCTAGAAGTCAACTGGTTTTAGCAGCATGATGGTCATTATCCCTGTGCCTCAGTGTCAGTGCTAGCTCACAGGCGGAGCCCTGAAACACAATAACAAGTTGTGCACATCACAATCCATTTTAAATATTTTTTTTTTTTAATCTTCAGCACCTTGTTGGGTCCCAGAAGTTTTCCTCTAGACCAAAGCCTCTCCCCATAATACATCTGGTGAAAAAGCCAAGGGATCTTCTTCTCAAAGAGCAATGATTTCACACCTGGACTGTGCACAGCTTTCCTTTCAGGACAGCTCAAAAAGTGGATTCTGTGAGTTGCTCTCTTTATTCCCAGCTTAGTGTTAACCCCAAAGCTGAGCCAGGGTGTTTTCAGGTCAGGTCTCTGCTACCGAGGCTCCTGGCACAGTTGTGTCAGCCAGAGCTGTGATAAGACCCACTGAAGGCAGAGCTGTGCCAGCAAAAGCACCTTGTGCAGATGTAGGTACAAGCAGAGAAAACGGCGCTTTTGTTCGTGTAGCTTATTTTGCTTGAGGAAGTTGGAATTGGCTCTCTCAGCAAAATCATGATTTTACTGTTAGAAGCTGCATCTATCTTGGAAATGTTTACTCTTCTGACCAAGTATTGTAGCTATGCTGTCAAAGCTGTCCTGGCTTTCAGCTACATGAAGTACCCTGACTGTTAAATACTCAACTCAGCTAATTGTTTTAGCCAAAACCTTGAGGTTCAGTATGACACTATGTTCAGTTCTGGGACAAAAGACTGCACAAAAAGTTTCTAGCTGTCAAATCAATAATTTAACCTTCTTCCTCATGTTTAAATTCTCCTCCGATCCCTTCCTAAAAAGGAGAGGAGGAGAGGAGAGATACAGTGCCCAAAGGATTGACTTAATCCACAGCAGCTGAAGTACAAAGTGCCCCCAAACTGTACCCCCCAGAATAGTCAGGCTTCTGACCTTGGCTGTCCCATCCCTGAGTCCTCCCACAGCCAAGCTTTTGAAATCACTGTAGGAAAAGCCCCACACACTGAACCCACCGTGAACTGATAGAAGGGATGCTGCCATAGCTCTGCTGCGGTGGCCAGGCAGATCTCCTCAGGGCTGAAGTGCTTCACACGAGTTTCCCTCTGAAGTTTCTGGTTTAAACCCCCCAGAGAGAAGGTGGCCATTTAGGAAATGACTGATCTGCTCCCGTGCATGGGATTGTTTCTGGTGCTCGTAATGCTCTGAGGGGGGGTTACCGAGAGCCTCCAGCTGCAGTATGGGGTGACACTGCAGCAGGAGGAGGCAAGGCACATCACCTTTCCATTTGAGAATCTGTAATCTAGGGGTTAGTAGTGAAATCCATCTGTGAAGAGATTTCATGAAGGCTGGATAGAACTAAGTCTCCCAGAAAGTGCTGGAGAGAAGATGCCATTTCACACTTGTGTTGTCCATGCTGTCTTTGGTAAGGTGCTTGGTGTGGTGGCCATCACCAGCCTATCGAGATGACCAGTCTTATGTATTTTATCTGGAAACTTGTGCAATTAGCCCCTGAAAACAAAGAAAAAGCAAACTCAAGTTCTTTTCAAGTGGGCAAGAAAGCTTCCCATAAAACTTCACACACCCATGAGGGTGAACAAGTAATTAGTTGCAAGGAACTTCTCTAGCCTGAACACTGAAGCAAACCTCAGAGATGTGTCGGTGTATATCTGGAAATCACAAAAAATAGTATTACTAAGGAGAAGATGCTGTAAAATGTGAGCAAGAGAAAACCTCCTGGCATGAGCAGGAATCACAACAGGCTTGACTGGAGGAATCCATACTAGTTCACTGTCAATAATGTAGCTGTTGAAAAGACCGGGTGTTTCAGATGGGCTTTGTCTTCCCGTTATTTTGAATGACTGCTGTCATTAAAAGCAGGAAAGGGGAGATTAAACTTCAAAAGCTTTACATTCTTAAATTTCTGCAGGCCTATAAAATATTATTTTTCTCTCTCTGGAGGTCTCCGACTCACTAATGTAGCTATGTTTACCTTAACTGGGCTGAAATACTCATTAGGTTCATGCACTTGCAATTTTTCACAGCGTTCGCTCGATTTCTGTATTAGCAGATAATTCTTAGGAGCTGCTTTCTGGTATACTCAGTAAAGATGACTGCTTGATCAAGACCTAGAGACAAGCTCTTTGGGGGCTCAAGGTGTTCAGCTTCAGACAGGAAAAAATTGAGTAAGAGTAGTCAGAAGCTGGCATATAGGTAGCAGCACTTATACTGATAGACCTCACTGTGGAATGTACCAAATAAGCACATCTCCACTGAAATACACACACGTGGCTTGCACAGCAATCAGCCAGCAAGTCTATGAAGTACTGTAAAATGTTATCAGAGGAAAGCAGGCATGGTGGATGCAGCAGGACATAACAACCCTGCCAGAAACTCAGTTTGTAGCATCTGCCTAATCTGAAGGACGCTTTGCTCCTAGACGGAGCCAAATTCATCGCTTGTACAACTCACATTGTTAATCACATCTGACCTCACCACTACCTTTTATCTGTGCCTGGCTGGTGATGGCATCCTACACCTAAACTTATGTGCCCCAACCACTAGGATAACTCTCACTTTTAATTTCCCACTAATTCTGAGCTCATATTGCTCCAGTTTGCCTGGTACTGTTTACATACAGACATGGCATTATCACCCTTTTGTTCCTTTCGTATGGCTTTCACATTCTAATTCCCTGGGGAAATGTATGAATTTTTTCCTTTTTTTTTTTCCTTAGTTTCTCAGATACCCACCCAAGCACTTGGTTCAATTTGTTCTTGGCATCAACTTCTAGATTGCACCGAAATGAAAAACTGCCAGTGCTACTGAATGCAGTCTTTTTACAGTTCTGCTAAAACCAGGCTTAGAGGCACACCCAAGAGCCTTCTAGCAGGGCTCTCCAGCAAGTGAAACGCTCCTCCAGCGATGAAGTGCCTTTCTTAAGACAATCTCAAATACTGCATCCTACCGCACAGAGAAGTTACTCTCTCCACAGCGCCAATGAAGAAAACAAGGAATGAAGAGGTGAAGGATGTCTCAGTTCGCAGTGTAACACCGTCCAGAGTCTCCTGAGCAAAGCTCTGAGCAGGGCACTGCATTTGCAGGATGCAGAGCTCCCGAATGGCAGCATTTGCACCCTCCAGCCCCGCTGCCACACAGCTGGCAAAAGCAGCTGCGGTGTGGTGCCAGCCCCACTTCCAGAGCCGCAGATATCTCTGCCCGGCACGCTGTAGACATAGCTGCAGTGACTTACTCCAGATCACACAATGAGTCAGTGTCAAAGCTAGCTCAGTCAGCTGGCCTCTAGGCTAGGGCTTTAACCGGCCTTCAGGAGAGGAAAACAACGCCAGTTCAGACATTCCTTAAATACTAGGGCCGCAGGGGAAGGCGACAGCATCCTGCCTAGACCAGAGCAGGAACTGCGTTTGCTTCTCATTTCCAAGAGCCTGAGATACGTGCACCTTGTTTGTTCCTGGACCGACTCCTCTGGAAATGCGTTTTGCTGGTGACTCACTGAGGTGGGAAAGAAGGCCAGGCTCCCAGGCTGAGTCATGCCAGGCACCCAGGGTAGGAAGGGGTGCTATGAGGTGGCAAGCATCAAGCAAGTTAATCACTTGAAATTACTAAAATCTTCTGCTCTAGAGAAACAGGAGGTGGTTAGCAAAATCTTAGGGGCTGACTAGGATACTCACCAAGCTGTCTTCCTGTATCAGTCAGTGTGGTGCTTCCCATGCTCCAAGCAAAGTGATAGACAACCATAAAGTAGGGATTACTTTATTCTAAAAGAAAGGAGAGAGAAACATGGAAAATACAGCTCAGAGGAAACACAGGTGATGGTGATTATCAATTTAGCTACTATCGGTTTTGGTCTATGTGTCTCTCTCTCCAGAGATTTTACACTTTAGGAATGAGGAGAATAAAGCTTTCATCCATGGAAGATATCTATTTTTTAGTCTAGAAAAAACATCAAAATTATCTTAATTCTCCACATCACATGTGAGCCCTCTCTTTTTGTGTTAAAGATAGGTAGAAGAAGAGACAAAGGGACAAAGGGATTTTGTTTAAGTGGGGAGTAAGTCGTGTCTGAATTAGTACAGCTGACACGAGCAGTTTATAAATAGTACTTCATTAAGCCTAATGAATTAAAAATATTTATATTATTTACCTAAAACAAATAGTGTGAGGACCATTCATGAGACAAACAATGGAGAAAAAAATAAAATCGCATTTCTGCATTCTTGTCAGAAGATGTGAAGGATGAACTGAATTTCAGTTATCTGCTGCTTAACAGGAGAAATAGTTGCCTCTTCCCATTACAAAAGTGTCCGAATATCTTACTGAAGTTATTACACAGACAATTTAAATCCAGATGTCAAAATGCTTTTTCAGATTGCATTTATTCAACAATGGCTCTTAAAGCTAGTTAAATGTTTTAACTTCCATCTCAGACAAAGTATCGATTTTGACATTTTGAGAGAAACAGAGCGATGCATTTGGGATGAAGAGATATTTAGAATTTTCATTAAATGAACTATTCCAAGAACAGCAGCTAAGCAGGTTAATATGAAAGTCAGAATATAAATATTGAGCCATTCCATGGGAATGCAGGAACATTTGTCCACTGTTTAGCCTGGTCAAAGCAGTGCTGGCCAGGTGAGGAGGAGGTGAAGGCTGGGATGGCTGCACTGTGGCAAAACCAAACAGCACAGAAGTACTGCCAGGCTGTGGGGTCGCTCTGTCTTGTTGAGCTGTACCTTCTGCATTCATTTAGGTATCCTGCTGCCACTGCAGCTCCTTCACAGGGACAAGATGGATGGGCTGGATGCAACCCAGGTTGCAGGAGTGAGCGGGCTTGTGAATGATATAAGGTTAAACATGTGCAAAAGAAAAAGCAAGGCATAGAAAGCAGGTGAGCATAACAAAACAAAGTAAGGGTGGATAAGTGGATGTGCATCTCAGATGAGATTAATTATACTCTGAGTCTAATCTTGCTGTAGATGGAAAGCACACCTCCCCTGGCAGCTTGGCTTCATGAAAATACCTGTGGCTGTCAGGTCTTGTTGGCTAAATGCCATTGTGCAAAACGGTTTTACTGGCCCTATCAGCTCATTAATGCACAATTTGCTAATGCACAGGCATGAGGGCTGGGATCCTGCATCAGCCGTCCTGCTGTGGTGGTTTTGTCTTTGTGCCAAAAACGCCTGAGAACATCTTTAAAGAGACAGTTCTCCTTTAATTCAGGTAACAGTGCGCCGTGCACTGCAGGTTTCGTCAAGACCTCCGAGAGCTGAAGATCTGTTTCAGTGAGAACAGCTATGTCCATCTTCTACAAAAGTGTCTTTAGTTCCTAAAATAAATACTTTATCTTAAAAAGGTTCTTAAAGAAAGTTTAAAATTTAAGTGATCAAAGTTACTGTAATTTCTTCTTAATATCTGTGGATATTTCTTCTAATTGTGGGTTCAGTAAAGAACTATTTAAGAATTTCCAGATAACTTATTCTCGCCTTACTCTGATGGCTTCTTGTATAACTGCATACAGCACTGCTGTATTTATTTGTGCATAAACCACCTTAAAATTCAAACAAAAATGTCAGGAAGTTCAGATATGAGGCCTTTAATTCATATACAAAACACATTCAAGGAACATTCAAAAGAAGTTTCAATCCATTTTAGGCATCCGAGGAATGATGTTTTCACATTTAAGATAAAACAGAAGTCAAAAGTAACCATTATCGTTTGGCAAGTGTTTTGCAAACATAAATGTCCCCCTTAATCTTTGGAAATCAGGACTTTAGACTGCATGATATTTAAAAATCTTGTTTTCTTTTTAAGTATATGCATATACTTTTACATATACATAAATAAACATTTGAGCTAGATTCATTAATAATTCAATAGCCTACTTAAGACATAAGCCTATTTAAAATAAAGCGTGAAATTCTTACACTGGGTATTAAAACATAAGTTTAACGTATGTTTTTTTAAATGAATGAAATAAAATTCAAGGTGAAAACCATAAACGTTTGCTGTTAAAGTTTTAAAGAACATAAAATCACCAAACTGATGGAATTACCATCTGAACATCTGGAACAAGAATTGGCTGAACTAAACCAGCTTTTGATAAAAGTGATTTTTCTACATGTGCAGAAAGAATATTGGAGCTGAACAAATTGAATAATCTGAAACAGAAATAGCAATAAGTTCAAAGCTGAGAAACTAACTAGGAACTAAATACCAAAAAGCCTGTGTTCCTCGCTAAGCTGTGAATAAAGGCGAGGAATGAAAGTGGCACCTCTCTTCATGCTTACATTTTGAGGGACACTGTGATCAGCAGCAAGCACTTCAATTCACTAGCTGCAAACAATCCTTCTAAATCAGTTACATCCTAATGAAAAATATACGATGATGAGCTTTGCATGGTTTCTTCTGTGGACAGCATGCTTGTAATGATCTGCATGGTTAAAAATACAGAAGGAGAGAGGGTTTTGAACGGTGTGTGTGCACCAAGAACCGAGCCACGAACTGAGCCAGACGCCGAGCAAGCGGGCACCCACCTGGGCTGCTCAGAAGCAGTGGGCTTCCACTCCTGCACACAGGCACTGCAGGGGTAAAGCACCAACCACTGCCACATAAATTGTCCACTTTCTCATTCCTGCATGACATGGGTATATATGTTTCTTTGCCTCCTTTGGCCCAGGCTTAGCTTGATTTGCCATGTGCTGGTGTGGGCAGGCTGGCTTCAGGCTGGCTTCTCTTCACTTACCTCCTACAGCCCATGCTTATTTTTAGTCTCAGGACCCACACATGTATAAGTAATAGTACCTTTGTTAGGGGAGAACGATATATATGAAATAAATATGCAATACATACGTTCTTAAAAGATGTTTCTGAATGATGCTCTGAATTCACAGCAATGTATTTTCTGCAGCAGCAGGTGACCCCTCAGAGAGATGGGAAAGGCGGGCATACAGCACAGTTAGTCACATCCCCTAGAGCCAGGATTGCAGACAGTAAATTAGTGAAACACACCCTCAGCAATGCACAGAGGTGGCTCAGGAGCGCTGGTGCTTCGCCCACCATCTCCCTGCCTGCCCAGCCTCAAGGGGCTCAATGCCCACCACACCGGACAAACCTCTTCAAAGTAAACAAAGCAAAACAAAACTTTCCACTCAAGCGAGACAGAAAATGAATTTAAGGAGCAGCCTAAAGCTCCTGAGACATCCCTCGCCCCTGAGGGAGGGTTTGTGAGCCAGGACAGCAGGAACGGGGCTGGGCACATAGCCGAGGCTGAGGATGGCACCAAAATGGCACCCTGGGGGGAACGCACTGGGGTGCACGAGGCCTGCTGGTGCTCCCAGGGCATGGTGTGGCCCCCGGGTAGGAGGTTTGGCCATGTGTGGGGCTGGGGCAGGGACCCCGCCAGAGCACGTTCGTGACAAAAGCGTGGCTTGGGGGCACCTCTCAGCCACCACGGCTCGGCAGATGATGGTGGTTTAACGAGATGCCCAGGCCCAGGTCCCGCCACCGCGGCCAGCCTCTTTTCTTCATCATCATCATCAGCAGCAGCAGCAGGCCGGCACACCCGCTGTCCCTGCAGGGGACTGTCAGGGACCTGCGGCCGGCGGGGCTGGCTGGGGACACACCGCACGCGGCCACCCTGCCGCCCAACCCCCATCTCACGGGTGTCGAGGTGGCTCCGGCACGCTGAGGCAAAGCAGCCGCTGGCTGCGTGGCTTTGACCAGTGTTGAGTGAGGCCTCGGTGGGCGGCCATTTCGGGGACCACGGTCTACCTAAGCCCTGCTGCAGGCACCTCGCCTGGGGGTTTGCCACAACGCTTTTCCCTCAGGGCAATCTCGCTGCTGCCTTATCGGTGAAGCCGAGCAAAAGCGAGCAACTTAGACAAGGCTTGTGCCAAGGTTAGAAATCAGCAGCAGAAGCCAGCAGCTCTGCTCTCTGGTACTCCAGCCCAGCACCATGTATTTCCCTCACCCTGCATGCTCGAAGAGTGTTGTTTGGAATTTTGTCCTGAACTGTTAACAAACTCGTAACAAGAAAGTTACTGCAAAATTTTGCAAACTG